ATTGATTAGGGATTCTTAAGGCGTACCATCCTAAACTTTGAGTTTTCAAATAACATAGTGGCTCTTCTTATGCACTATGTTACTACCCCATCCATGAATATTTTATGGAATGGGAATAAGCTTCCTTCATTTTCTCCAAATTGTGGACTCTAAGGTGATTCACTCCCTCCATATCTCTTCCTTTTGTGTATAGAGAGATGTTAGCTCTTGCTATAAAAGATTGTGAGAAATAATTAGTGGCAACGAGTTAGGGTTAGCAAAAATGGCCTAGTTATATCCCATCTACTTTTTGCTAATGATGTCATTTTATTTACCAAAGCCAAAAGCTGTCAAATCAGAATTATAAAGAAAATTCTTGATAGGTTTAGTGTTGGGTCTAGTCTGAAAGTTAACTTGATAAAATCTTGAGCTTATGGTTAGACTAGTATCAATGGTCAGAAACAAGCCAAGTTCATCTCTATCTAAGGTATTCATTTTACTTCTTTTCTTGATATATCTAGGGCTTTCCAATGATATCAAGTAGAGTGAAAAGAAAACACTTTGACTTTATTGCGGAGAAAATTCAACATAAACTTACTAATTGAAAGTATATTTTCTTTAGTAAAATGAGACATTTACCTCTAGATAAGTTAGTTATTACGGCAATCACAACATATCACCTACAATTGTATTGACTCCCTTAGTTTGTTCACCATTCAATTGATAAGTGTATGAGTAATTTCCTTTGTATATTAGTTATAGTTTGATTAAAAGGTTATAATTGAATAATAAATTTTAAGAACATTAAAAATTAATAGAACTTTGTTGATCATAATAGTCTCACTTGAATAAGATTGTCTTCAATAAAGAATAACTATGGTCTAGACAATAATTATGTGATAAATATGTATTAATTTATAAAATAAAATAAAATTATGCATGATAAATATGCACATTTAAAATATGTTTCATATACCTATCTAAATATATGTCATGTATTTGAGAAATTATAATGGCATAATGTAATTTAATTTTTAAATATTGTACATAAATGTTAACCATTCTCGTTAAACTAACATTTTTTTATTTAAAATAAAACTTGTTTTTAATGTATAGTTATATTATAAAAAATTATATATAATTTTTATTAAAAATAATAAAATATTACAAATTAAATATATTAATATTAAACTATATATTTTTAATAAAAATATTAAAGACAAGTAATAGAAGTTAAAAGAAAGAAATAAACACACTCAAAATAGAAAGTCAAACAAGATAATTAAGAAATGAAATAATTGAGACAATATAAATTATTAGTTTTAATACTTACATTGCACATGAATTACTTGCAAGATTATTTTTTTTTAGATTTATTTCTCTTTTTTTTTGTCCTAAAATAAGGAGAATACCTTAACAAAGGTGAAAGAAAAAAGAGAAAATTAACAATAAAACTGTGTAGAAAGAAAAATTGATTAGGATCTAAGCTTTGATACCAAATGATGTAAAATTGATGGATCTATCCTTGAGTTAGTTGAATTAAGGTAAGAAACAAATTTGTGTTATAAAAAAGGTATATCTCACCCTAAAAAATTTGACATTAACAAAATGAGGTGAAAGATGACGTTTTAAAATACAATTGTGAGATAATTAGAATGAAAAATAGGATTTGAATGCAACAAATAAGAAAAATTTAAAAAGATAGAAATATGATAAGCTCAATGTAGAATTGTCACAAGAGTGTGAGAAACCTTTGATAAGATTCAAGTTGTGGTTCTTTCCAAGAACCCTAAGAGGCACAAAAGTTCTCTCAAAGAGATAACCCTCAATTCTTATTCTTATTCAAAACTAAAGTTCTCTCCTAATGAGTTTTAAATGAATATATATAATAAAAAGTGAAAACCTAAAAGGCTTTTTTAAAGAGACTTAATTAATAATGTGGCCCAATCCATTAACCTAAAACATAATAAACTATTTAATTAAAACATAAAATTTTGACTCAAAATAATACTAAAAATAAAGATTGAACTAAGCCCAATCTTCATAATTAATCTTCAATTAGAACACAAGAATTCAGCCTTTGTTTCTTCTCTTTCACAATATTAGATGCCTTGAACATAGTTGTTACCATATAATATAGGGTTTCTTTGACTTTCTTTATTTTTGTTTTTGTTTTAGGACTTTCAAATCCTTGTAAGAGATCCTTCTCTTTGTTTACTCCCTTCTTCATCTTTCTTCCTTATTAGTTCTCATCATTAGCTAAGTTTAAAGTCATGCTACATGGTTTATATATTGCTTTACTTATTCCTAAATATTTTTGGACTAACATTTCTATAGATTTTGTGCAAGATTTCTCAGTCCAAAAAAAAAAAAACTTTACTTTTATAATTATAGACAAGTTTTATACGATGACACATTTCATAATCTGCAGAAAGTGAATGATGCATACTTCATGATTGACTTTATAATCAATTTTTTTCTTTCTCCACTTTTTTATAATAGTATTTGTAGCTTTAGTTTCTTTGCTTTATATAATGTCGTTCATAAAAAAATTGGGTTCAGTAAAAGTGTAAATTTTCAATATAATTATTTTTTTATTCTGTTTGCAAATGTACTAATTTGGTATGGTTAGTCTGCTAATTTCTCAAAAGAAATATAATTCAAAAAAAAAATTAATAGAAACTTTCGAATAAATTTTTTGCAATAGAAAAAGTCCAGACAACAAAAAATTGAAATATTTTGTTAAATAATTGTAATAATTAATAATTCCTAAAAGTTCAATTTAAAGAAACGCCGGATGGTGACAATCGGAAAAGGTAATAATTTTACGGAATGAAATAGTTTAAACTCATTCTTTTTTAAGTTTGATCGCATATTATATTACTAAATTGCAGTTTTTGGTTCCAAATTCTCATCGATAAATAAATATCATCTTTTTTCTTTTGCCTAAAATTATACTTATGTGCACGTTACCTTAGTTATCCGATTAATTTGACTTGAGTTAAGAATTACTACTTCAGAATGTACTCTTGTTTTATTTTAATTTAATTGGGCAGCAAAATTCTCACACAGCTGTATTAATGGTTAAGTTAAAGATACAATTTAAGTGCAAATTTTTACTTGTTTTTATTTTTTTTTAATTAAAATTGGAGTTATATTTCATTTTTTTATTGTAATAAAAATTAATTTAAATTTAAAAAGTTTGAAAAACACATAAAAGGTGTACTTATACTTTGTCTTTAAATTAAAGAATCCTTACAAGCAGTGTTTTAAATGCACTGATTAAAAATATAATTAATATATTTTTATTTAAAATTATGTTGAAAATACATTAAAATTATAAATACTCTTGACAAAAAAAATGACTTTAATTACATAATAAATACTCATAAAGCATTAGTTACTTTTTTCAGAGTTAAATAGCTCCTATTTACTAATTTACGAGCTGGATGGTAATCTTGTGTAAAATAATTTTCAATGCACCCAACCTAACAACTATTCAGTGCATCATTATTCAAAGCCAAAATCCAACAAACGATAGTGAATTGAAATCATTGTCAAAGCTCCATTTAATTTTCTCTTTTCACACATTTTAATCATGTTAATTTGCAATTAGAGAGCTTACTTTTCATCTTGATTTGGTCACAGCATGGGCACATATACGGATATGGACAGAGGACAGTAACTATTGTAACATTTAAATGCCATACCAAAGAGGATGAAGTAAACACAAGGCAATTTAATGAGATTGAACCTTCAAGGGAAAAACTAGACTACAAGGCTATAATAGCAGGAATTCTACAAGTCCTTTTCAAGCAGGGAATCCAAAGGTGGCATCCACAAACCATTATTAATGTTTTTGTACCAACATGATATATAATGTCGTATAGGGAAATAATACAAAGTTCACGCATTGAAATTTTGTTTCTATGGAACCAAAAGACAATCAATTCCTGCAAAAATAGGGTGTTATTCCATGATGGTTAAGGCTTAGTTTGAGAATATTGTTGTCACACTCTGAATGTGCTTCCCTTGACTACCCTTGTTTGTAGGCATAATCTATTATTTCCCTATTGTTGGTATGGACCATCAGGGGTTTCTAGCAAACTGCTATAACAACATGTGTTACATATATTTATGTATGCGTGACAATTTGACAGTTGTTCCAATGTTTATTTTCCTAGTTTAATTAATGTTGTCTTTTCTCCTTCAAAATATATCTGTGGGGTTTAAGTGTTACTCATGTGACTCATGGGACAGGCTTTATTCTATTCTTCGGGAAAACATTTTTCTATTCCTTACTAATAATTATAGTAAATTTTCTCCATTTAAAAGCCTAAGCATCCATCAGTCTTCTCACTTTGTCAATTGGATTGAAATTGACTTTTGGTTTGCACAAATTGTCACATAGTAAGCTCAAGCAGTTTTCTTTTTTCTTTTTCCTTTTCTTGCTTTCTTGTCACTGAATTTATTATCCAAGATAAACTATATGATTATTTTTAATAAGATCTCGCAGCACTTCACGAGAATTATATATTATTGAGTTCTTGTTAACCAGTATTTGAGGGGTTTAGTTAAAAAATAGACAATAATTTTTTATTAGAAAATACATTAAAAATAAAAACATTTTACTTTTAATTCTTTCGTCATTATTCTCAAGACATTAACTAACATTTATCTTATAAATTCTCGACTATCCTTGCGGGAAGGGATCCTGTGCAGGCATGCTCATGTTGAGCCTTGCATTATTTGGTGATAAAGATACAAATTGAAATAAGACTTATTAGAATTAGTCAATAATTATTGAGGGTCATAAATATACCCCACGCTCCCGAGAAATATTTGCATGTGAATATGTGAGTTCCTATTTATAATTGGAGCGAGAACATGTGGTGTGTACACATCAAGTGTAAAATCTTACTTAGCAAGTGCTATTCACGAGCCTCAATTCACCCTCTTCCATTATTGAATTATAAGTACAACTAAGACCCTTATCTGAGCTTCATAAAATAGCCCAAAATTCTTGGTGCGTTTTCTATCAGTGTCAGGAGCCTAGTTTTATGCCATCCATCCCCCTTCATTATTATCTCTTCTTCTCTCACTCTCACCCTCACTGTAAGAACAATTCACAAACACCCTTCAACACTTTTTATAGCTAATTAGTTGAACAGCCACAAAAACATACAGATGGGTGGCACTGTTGGCAAGAGTGAGAGGAAGTGTGCTGAAAAATGTGTAAGGAATTTGAAGGAGAAAGTGAGAGTTTTGCAAGAGGAAATAAAGGAGATGATGTGCGAGAGGGAGAAGGAGAGTAGGAGCTATGAGAGAGACATAATGGTGTTTACTTTTAAGGAGGCAGATTGGAAGCAAGAGGGGAAGAGGCTGAGAGAGGAAGTGAAGCAGTTGAGGAAAATGGTGGAAGAGAAGGATGAGAAGATCAGAGAGATGGAAGTTGGAATGATGGAGAAGAATTGTGAGAAAGAGTGGGAATTGATGGGAACTAAACTCTTGGTTGAGCAAATGAAGGAGGAAAGAGCAAGGAGAGATGAAGCTGTTGAGAAGTGGAAGCAACTTTATCTTGCAATTAAGGCTGAGCTTGATGACCTCATTCAGAGGACATATGATGGTCTCTCTCTCTCTCTCTCTCTCTCTCTACTTTTTGTACTCATGAATAAAATCATAATTTGTAGAACAAGTATTATTGGTGTCTTGCCTTGTGCTATTTATGATCATTGAAAAGTAGTTTGTGGCTGGTGGGGTTCAATTCCTTGCCTTTCTCTAAATAAATAATCCAATTAAGATGTTAAATGGTTTGGTTATTATGTATTCCTTGTTCTTCAGAAATATTGATGATACTCGTTAATATATTCTGACAACATAAGGTTGAGTTTGAAGCAAATGTGTTTGTTGTTTTGATTTGGTTGGGCTTATTTGTTTTTGGCTATGTGTTTCACAGGGGATGGTCTGTATTGGAAAGCAGAGGAGAATGACATTCAAATGGAAAATCTGAAGAGGGAAGTTCAAGAAAAGGAAGAAACCATCAAGGTCTTAAAAGCTCAATTAGTTTCAATGGAGAAAGAAAAGTACAAAAAGGAGAGGGAGTTTGACTTGTTAAGGCAAAGCTTGAGAATCATGAATGGCAAGAAGAATTCAATTCAAACAAAAGAGAAGCTCTTGAAAACCAAATTGGGAAAATGACATGCAAATATGGTGCATAAACACTTGGTTTCACAACCAAAATTGAACAATGTGGTTGAGTATGTATTATTTATACTGGGTTGGCTTGTATCTTGCAACAGCACCTATTTATTTTCCTTTTTATTTTCCCCACTCCTCCTTTGCCTGCATAAAAATAATCAAGTCAAAAAGAAAAGAAAAAGAAAACATGAAAACATGGAGAGGAAGATTAGCAATTTTTCCTTGTGGACAAAGCTTAGTTACTGAATATGCCAGGTCTTAGGACTAGTGAAGGAAAGATAGAAAGAAATGGTTTTTATTTTTCCTTTCATTATGTAGATTCAAACAAAGTTCATTTCTAAAAGAAGTTTCTGTTCTATTCATTGTATTTGGCTTATCTCTCTCTTCAAAGGCAAAATGGTGGGGTGGCCACCTACCCAGTGAATCGTCACATTCCCTAAGTTGGTTCCCCTTTGACTCTATGCACCCTCTATCACTCGCCATGCAATGTAATTTCATTCTACCAAAAGCCTAAAACAAGTTTCAAAATAACCAGATTAAGTAAATAAACAAAATCGCAGATACAAACCAGTAGTGAATTAGCAAAATGAAAAAGAATATTCAATAATATGTACGATGAAATATTTGATTCAATTATAATGTCCATTTTCAATGAAAAAAAATATAGAAAAAATAAAACCTGATTCAAACTTAAAAAAGCTTTTAATAAATAAAAGTTAAATTTTGTTAGTATTTAATTTCTAATAGAGGTTATTTTTTTAACTCTTTTAAAAAAGTAAATATTAATTTAAAAAATAGTAACAGAGATCAAAATCTTATTTTAGCCTAAAATGAATTTCATTATTGAATTCTTAGGACAATTGTATTCTAAATGTCCTTAATATCAATTTTGGGTAATATATGATTTTTAGTTTCTATAAATACGATTAAATTTAATTTTAATTTTTACTTTTTTAATTTTAATCTTCATAAATTTTAAGATATTTAAATTATTTTATATTACTACTCATTGATAAAATAATTATATATATATATATATATATATTATCATACATATATCTTAAAATAATAGCTAATATCGTATAACTAAATACACATATCGTGTCATCGTCAAATAGTAATAAGAATTATATAAAAATTTATGAAAAATATATTATATTGTATTATATTATATAAATTTAAAATATACTTTTCACTTTTTTTTATAAACTTTTATGTAATTTATGTTTAAAAGGATAACACGGAGGGAATAAAACCTACAAAAACGAATATAAATTATAGTTATCTTCATCTCAGGTAACTTTTTCATAATTAATATAATTATATCTATTGAAAAAGGTTTTTTCATTCATCTTCATAAATATTAATTCCAGTTTATAGAAGGCATAATAACTAATAAGGAAAAAGATAGAAAGAGAGAAAGGGTAATCACAGAAAGTGTGTTTTGATTAAGATCTTAACATGTTCATGGTAACAAGCTGCTATCCCATCATTTCCTTTTCATTGTGGGGGCATAAACTCTTGTATCACAAAACAACAAACTTCCCTTGCATTCAGGTCCCATACGGGGAATCTAAACCATTATTGCAGTTACTTTATGTCAATATAAAGCAATTTTAATGCAAAAGTTGAATTTTTTCCCCCTTCTGTTCGGGTTTCAACATTTTCTATCTATCGGCTTGTTGTGACCGTTTTCTGCTAACATCCAATTAAAAAGTAAAGAAAGAATGAAAAAAGTGAAGAAAAAGTTGTATGCTTAATGATGCATCAGTGCAGTGCAAGACACTGTTTCAGATTCAATTTTTCACCCATAAAACGAAATAATACGTAGTTCATAAGTGAAATATTTAGGGGTTACATGAATGGAAGGAAAGAGATATAGAAAGCAAACAAAACAAAGTGAAAAGTAATAAGTGACTGTAAAACAAGATCACCAAACCAACAAATTAATTAGTTAGCCTTGAAGTGACCAAACAAAACTCGACTCTGCACTCATATTACTTTGGGTCTTTCCCTTGTCATTTAGCTTCTTGTTACGGAAAGGTAGACACATGATGACGTGTTAGAACAGTAAAATGGGAAATATAATTTGTAGAAAACTACTTTTTAAAAGAAAACAAAATATACTCTATCTCTAATCTTGCTGTTTCAATTTTACTCTTGATTCTTTAGATTTATCTTCAATCATAGAATTTTAGCGCTATTTCACTGCAAGAAAATCAAATATTAAAGAGTAGTTCTGCATTGTTTTAAAAAATAATTTAAATAATTTTAATAAGTATTTTTATTTAAAATTTTTAAATATCGCTTAAAATATTAAATAAGTTAAAATTAATATATAATCATTTTTTAAAATATTTAAAAAGCAGTTGCATACTAATTACTATTTAAAGTCACTTTTAAATTATTTACATATTAATCTCTCTAAAGTATTTTTAAAAACAAATATATTGTTTTGCTCTACAAATAATCATTTCAAAATATACAAAATGACATAGTGTTTGTATAATGCTCTTTCTCATTTAAATATTTTTTTTGTTATATATATATATATAAATTTCAATAAAATTTAATTAAAATGACTAAATAATATGGATAATTTAGAAAATTTTACATTTATATAAATCTAAAACTAATAGAAGTTAATAAAATTTTGAAACTTCGCACATGTCTTATCATATTAGAAATGAAGGTTGATCTTCACAATATAAATTTTTATCAAATTAAAAATTTAAATAACATTTTAAACATTTATCTGGTATATATATATATATATATTAATATTCAAAGTTTCAATGCTAATGAAATCTATATTTGAAATATAAATAGACTTTCTGAATATAATGTCATCTCTAAATTACAACACATGTCTATTGTACCCATGAGATACTTCACTAATTATAATTATAATGAAGAAACCATTGTCCATATTCTTATTGTTGGTTAGCTCAATGATTAGTGGAATAACTATCTCACTGAAACTAATAGAGAAAATATTCTCTCTACAGTTAAAATTGATAATAAAGGAAATGTCATTGTTAATAATGATGAGCAACTTCATGATGCGGTGTATACACTCCTATACACCATATCCTAACATTTTTTAAGAGATCCATCTTTATAGAGAGATAGATCAGCTGAATTATTATCCAACCTTAAGTGTAGAACCCTAGATGACTATAAGTTGTATAAAGACACCTTTATGTCTAGAGTTTATACTAGAGAAGACAGCCAACAACCATTTTGGAAAGAAAAATTCTTAGGTCGTCTTCCCAAATCTTTCAGAGATGTAGTTAGAAGGAAGCTCCAAAATCATTCTACAAATGGAGAAATTCCTTATGATATCATTACTCAATTAGCTCTGAAAACTTGTCAAGAAGAGAAACTTCAGAGACAACTAGCCAAGGAAAGAGCTATAAATAAAAAAGATTTAGGATCTTTTTGTGAACAATTTGACCTACCTTCTTGCTCAACCAAAAAGAAAAAACAAGTTCCTAAGAAAGATGTTGTAGAACCCAATAGGAAACTTTACAAAAGAAAGTACAATAGAAAATCCTATAAGAAAACTGGGGAAGATGTCATTCCCAAACATATCCTAAGAAACCCAGAATAGGTGTAACCTATTACAATTGCAGTAAACCTGGCTATATCAGTAAATATTGTAGACTCAAGAAGAAAATCAGTAACCTTAACCTTGATCCTTCCATAGAAGATCAAATTAATAACCTTCTTATTAAATCTTCTGATGATTATGTTAAAGAGTCAAGTGAGGATATCAATCAAATTCAACAAGATGATCAAGTATCTTCTTCTGATAGTGATGAAACTCCAGAAATCAATGTTTTAACAAAAGAGCAAGATCTTCTTTTCGAAGCCATTAATTCTATTCCTGATAATCAAGAAAGAAAAGACTTTCTTAGTAAGTTTAAAGATGTTTTAGAAATAAGGCAAAAACCAAAAGAACTTTTTACCACAAACAAGTTTGATATAACCAGTATTTTCAAAATATCATAAAATAATTCTAACATAAAACCAACCACTATGCAAGATCTTTATATTGAAATTAACAATCTCAAGAAGGAGACTCGCGAGATCAAAGAACAACAACAAATTCATCAAATTATTCTTTCGCAACTTGAGGAAAATAATGAATCTGAAGTTGCAGAAGATCAATTTGTTGAGAAAATTGATTTTCCAGTTTTTACTACTATGACTATTAACTGGATTAACAATTAAAATATAATCTTTTCCAGTTTTTAATGGAAGCTTAATTAAAATTATTACAATACTTAAAATAATTTAAATCTTAATAGAGTATCTCTTCCTTACAACGTAATTGAGAATATGATTCTAGGACGTATTAGTCTTGTTTTATTTTTTTTATTTCTTCATTTTTAAATAATGCAGAAAATATTATCTAATACAGTATATACTAAAACAAGATAATTCATTTATAAATTTTCATCCAATAGTAACAAAGACATAAAATTTCACACACAGCCAAATCCAATTATACAATTCTTGAATTCATGTCAATTTGATTATTTCAATTTTGATGGATCCATCATTTATCAGTACTTGCAGTACTCACGGACCCTAAATTGTTGTTAACATATTTTTCCTAGTCATAAAGGACGTACACCAGTATCAATAGTCGTCGGTTAACTACCACATACAGATACAACATGTGCGTTATATGGCCCTGTAGTAAAAGTATAGTTAGGAGTTTAGTCAGAAAATGAATGTGAGGTATGTGATGCTTTCGCTTTCATTAATTTATGTGCTAACAACATTTACTACCTTTATTTCTCCCAAATTTCCCAAATCATCTCCAAACTTTATACCCTCAATGTATTTCTATAATTATTTATACAAAAACTTAACAATGACAATTTGTGAGAGAGGATCTCACTTAGGCGAGAGTGTGACTCGCCCAGGCGAGAAGGGGTCTTGCCTAAGCAACCTCGTAGTAAAATCTTAGAACTCTTTAGAACCATTCTCGCTCAAGCAAGAATACCTCTTGCCTAGGCAAGAATATCAAAAAGAGGCTGGAAAATCATTATCTAGTTTTTTCACTGAAGCAAGAAGGAGATCACTCAGGCTAGAATGATCTCGCTCAAGCGAGAGTTCGTTTGCTCAAGCGAAAGTCCGTTTGCTCAAACGAGAATGCACGAGTTTGAAGGGTATTTAAGG